GTAATTTTTAAATATTTTTTTGTAGAGATGAGATCTCGCTATGTTGCAGCTGGGCTCAAACAGTCCTTCTACCTCGGCCTCTTAAAGTGCTGGGATAATAGGCATGAGCCACTGTGCCTGGTTGACTGGGGTTTTTTTTGAGTCGTAGTCTCACTCTGTTGCCCAGACTGGAGTGTAGTGGCACGCTTACAGCCTCAACCTGCTAGACTCAGGTGATCCTTCTGCCTCAGCCTTTCAAGTAACTGGAACTACATACACATGCCACCATGCCCGTCTAGTTTTTGTAATCTATTGTAGAGGTGAGGTCTCACCAAGTTGCGCCAGGCTGATCTCGAACCCCTGAGCTTAGACAATCCTCTGGCCTCGGCCTCCCAAAGTGCTGGGATTACAGGCTGAGCCACCGAGCCCAGCTTTTAAGAAAAGGCATACTTTATTTTTATCTTTTTGAGTTGGAGTCTCACTCCGTCACCCAGCCTGGAGTGTGGTGGCACGCTCATGGCCGCCCAGCGTCAATCTGCTGGGCTCCAGCGATCCTTCCGCCTCAGCCTTCCGAGCAGCTGGAACTACAGGTGCCCGCTACCATGCCTGGCTTATTTTTTTATTTATTGTAGAGACAAGGTCTCACCAAGTTGCCCAGGCTGGTCTTGAACCCTTGAGCTTAGACAATCCTCAGGCCTCAGCCTCCCAAAGTGCTGGGATAACAGGCTTGAGCCACTGTGTCGGACCTCGGCTTTTTCTTTTAATGCAATTGTTTGATTTGTTAAAAAAAAAGCTGGGCTCAGTGACTCAGCCTGTAATCCTGTGCTTTGGGAGGCTGAGGTGAGTGGATTGCCTGAGCCCATGGGTTCGAGACCCGTCCAGGCAACTTGATGAGCCCTTTCTCTACAATAAATTAAAAAATAAGCCAGGCATGGTAGCGGGCACCTGTAGTTCCGGCTACTTGGAAGGCTGAGGCAGAAGGATTGCTGGAGCCCAGCAGATCAAGGCTGCGGTGGCCGGGAGCAGCCACTGCACTTCAGTCTAGGCGACAGAGTGAGACTCCCACTCAAAAAAAAAAAAAAGACTTGGCATTATCACTTTGGAGATATTTTCTAACCCTGAAGAATAACTACATCTTTTTGTCTTTATGTATCAACTTTTCACGGATTTTAAAAATCAAATTAGGAGTGTCATTGAATGGATGTCCTTGTGCAGTAGCTTATAGTGCTTTATTGGGACTGATTACAATGCAGTGTACTCATCTTTGTCACTTCAATGCAAGACTTCTTCAAACAGAACTCTAGTGATTATTTTTTAATGTATTGAGAGTAAAAGGGCAAGGTACCCTTTTAAAGGTTAATATTGGCAACTAGAACTTGGCTAAATTCCAGAGATTATTTTTGTAGTTTTCAACTAAGTTAATGGTTTATAAATTGCAGCTTCACATTTTGAAAAGTTGAAAAGGCTTAATTACAGTTTTTAGAGCTCCAGGTGTCACTGGGAAGAACTAAGTCATCTTGTCCAGTTTGGTGTGTGGTTCCATTAGCTTTTCTTGTCAACCTACACCAGATGCACAGTCGACCCCACCCCCAGGACACCGCAGTCTGTGGATGCGCAAGTCCCTGATGTAAGATGCTGTCCAGGATTTGCACATGAACTCTGCACACCCTCCCATATGTGTGAATTCTGTTCCCGATAGTTAGGATACCCAGACCAGGGTGGATGCCGAGTAGAGTGGTGATGTTGTGGTGTTAGGGAGCCATGCAGGTCTGTCCTGTTGTGCACACACAGCCATCACAGCCCTACGTGCATCTCAGTCAGTAGTCAGCCCATCCATGGATGTGGGTTCCACACCTCTTGAAGCTGCCTGGGAGGGCTGGCTGTATGTGGAATCCATCTGAGAGCACGGAAACGTTCAGGAGCTTGACCTCAGCAGTGTCTTGTTCTTGGTGGAAATGCATGGAAAATCACCTGTGTTTCATTTATGACATATGTTTGGGCCCTGTAGGTGCTGTTGGGTCATTGAGGTGCCTTGGGGATCTATGGATCCTTTCAGTTATGGGCAAAACCGTGTATGTGTATTTTTGCTCGCATGTTTTACATATTTTTTAAGGCAGTGGATTTCATACTTCACCCAGTTTTCAGTCACATTTGAGGACCAGATGGGTTTTGAGAACAGTACTGATCTAGGGTAGTGATTTTCATTATTTTGGAATCACATGCCCTAACAGTTTTTAAAATTGAGAGCTTGGCATGTGTTGATGTAATCCTGGCTTCTCAGGAGGCTGAGGCAGAAGGCTCACTTGAGCCCAGGAGTTTGAGGCTGTAATGAGCTATGATTGTACCACTCACTGTGCTACAGCATGGGCCACAGAGCCAGACTCTTAAAAAAAAACAAAAACCACCCACAAATCTGTATGTTTGTGTTTATTCCTTACTAAATTTCATTGTACTACTATATTACTACTTTAGGTTTAACACATTTCCTAAAATAACAGTAAACATAACCTGTCCTCCAGTGAGACATTTCGGGTATCTATTCTTTGATGAACATTAATTCCCACGGTATAACTAGGATAAGAGTGTTTTTTCTGGGAACATGGCAGACAGTGATTTGTGTGCCCTGCCTTGGATACAGTGGCCTTAGGAGACTCTGGGATTTAGCCTTCCAGGGTGTGGAGCTTGTCCTGAGGCACCAACACCGTCCAGGAGGATGTGTGGAAATAAAGAGGGATCTGGCAAAATGGAGCTGAAAAAAATACCTGAAAGTCATTAGCAGGTTTCAGAGTTACTTATCTAGGACTTAGTAGTGTTTGTTCTAATTCCAAAAGATACAACCAAGCTGAATTTTAAGCTGGTTTTTTTGGGGGCAGTATCGAATATTTCCAAATTCAAAGGAGACCCTTGCTGAATTGATACAACCCTTCCTAAATGAAAGGAATCACAGCTTGTAGCACAACATACCTTCACAGAACCCTGGTTACTGTTAAGATCTTGTCACTCTAACACGTGGTTTGTGACTGTTGAAAAGCGTTCAAGAGGCTAAATTGGATTTCGTTGTATTCCTAGGGTGTTGGAAGAGGACAGGAAGGACGCCGCCTGAGGCTCAGCTCCCAGGACCCGGGGCCTAAGGCCAGCAGGCATGTGCAGCCACTCCTGGCGTCAGGTCAGTCAGAGGAGCACCCCGTTGTCTTGTTTGCTTCTGTCCTTTTCCTTTGGTGGCAACAGTGAGCACACACAATGGTCCCAGTGCTTCGCCTTCCTAGAAAGCCGTGGCAGCTCCAGTCTTGGAGTGGAGGGCCCCCAGCCTTGTCGCTGTTTCTCGCACTCAGCCGGTGGGGACCTCCACTCCAGACTGCCTTCTCTCTCGTCACTGGTGGCAAAAGTGGATCAGGAGCGGAAAGGACACATTATGGAGGTCTCAGGGTGAGGAGAGGAACAAGGAGGATCTGTCTGACACGGGGGAAAAAGTCCCTGCGGCTTTTGTGACCCCAAATGTGCAGCTTTAGTCTCGGCCCTTCAGAAAGTGTATAATGTCGAAAGTGGCAAAAAGCAGGGAACTAGACTCCGGCTCTCCTGCCCTCCTGTTATGTCAGACGTTCAATGGCAAGCTCCCTTCTCCCTTATTCTTGTTACCACAAGAGTGGAACTGGGTGCTTCTGAGAAACAGCACAGCCTGCAGGCCAGATCGTCCCCTTGAACAGGATCCCAGGGAGCTGCAGTCATGGAGACATCCTGACACATTCCGGTCTTCTGAAGCATCTGCCTACCCACCATGTAGCACTCAAATGTGACAGTTGACTTGCAGCTATTGTCCAGCTCTGGAAAATGAGTTGTAGGTGCTGGTTCTCGAGTCTTGTCCTTAGATCACCATCATTCCTGCCTTAGACCACAGCCTCAGGGATGTGTGGTATATTGGACACAGTCGATTGAAGGAAGTTGCTTTGGCCTTGACCCAAGTTCTGAGCTTTTCTATAAACCTTTTGTAAGGTCCTGCTTGAGAATTGCTGTTTGTAGATACATCGTTGTCTCACTTTCCCCACAGTATGTTAAGTGCCCAGGCCGCAGCAGCTGCTGTAGTGCCTGGTGCTTGGCCCAAGCGGTGGCTCACCAGCAAGGAATGCCTCTTGAGGGGCGTCTGTTGCTCACTCAGGCCTTCCCCATCCACAGGAAAGCAGAGCGTCCAACCTTGACTCACTCACAGAAAAAGTGGCCTTGAACTGACTGTAGAGAAGCTATGGGTTACAGCAGGTCAGCTGTTCTAAAAGACACTTGGCTGTTTGCAGAATCTACTAGCAAACCTGGTGGAAGTTGACAAGTTAACACATTTGCGACCAGCACTCTCCTAATACTGAAAGAGGGTAAAAATAGAATCTGAAGCTGGTTGCCACAAACTTCTGTCATTAAGCACAAGTAAAATGGTCTTTCTGAATTGTCCCCCTTTTTACAATACAGCTGAAAGTTGCAGACATACCCAGGATTTATCTCAGATACTATGACTAGCATTCCATACTTTGTATTTTTATTCTGATAATAAACCCAAAAAGACAGCCTTCCATGAGGAGGTAAATTCATGTCAGCGGCAACCAGGAACAGAATTCGGAATGACGTAAATTCACATCAGGGGTCAGGAATGAATTAAGATAGAGTTACCCTTAGTTATCTCACACTTCATGTTTCAGTCCAAATAACCTGCCTATGCTCCCAAGCAGCTAGTCTCGTTACAGGCTGCATCCGTACTGGCTTTCCACTGCCCCCTATGGAAGAAGGAAACGGTGTGCAGGTGTCTGCCTCCTTCACTTGGATGGTAGGAAGCGGGTGTGCCACTTAGTTCTCACACATGGCACTGATGTGCTGCTGCTAACTCAGATCTCCTCTACCCCCCAACTGCTATGAAATCATATCTGGTACTAGTAAATGATTCCGTGTAGGTGAAAAAGTCCAATCCCAGCCAATAAGCTAGAAAAACAGTTTTTGTTGTGTTTTGTTGGTGTGAAGTCTTGAGATTTGAGGTATCAAAGAACTGGAAAGACCAGCATTATGGTGTTTTATTGAGAAAACTCTAGGAAAAGGCAGTTTGGGGATGTAAAAGATGGTTCTCTAAAATGTCTACACAATGGGTCTAACATCATAAAGTAACATTCTTTAAAATGTTCATTAAAACCATTTCATACAGTTATAAACCAATGAACTAAACAGTTTTCAACTTTTCCACATTCCAGGCTGAGCCTGACTTTGAGTGTTTCCTGGATGGCTTTGAGAAAATGTGAGTCCTGTGGGTGGCCCATGGAAGCAGGCACTCCTCCCCAGTGTGGCCACCAGGACACCAGGCTTAGCGGGACCAACAGCCATCTTTCTGGTCCGTGCTCAAGGGCCTTCCAGAATTCCCAGACGAACCCACGGACAAGGGTAAACAGTTCACACTGAGTGTCTTTCAGACCTCGTTACATTCCTGCTACAACTTACTCAGATTATCATCTTGTTATGGTGTGAAATTGCAGTTACGGTACCCCTCTGCCACAGCACCCTTCAAGGAAGCAGACACACTTGCACTCAGTTCTTGGGTACTTTGGATGACTTGGAATATAGATGGCCCCTTGCTGTAAGCAAATGCTTTGCGGCTGAATCTTTTTTTCCCTTCTGTTCACCAGGACTACTAAAAATTTACCAGGGCTAGTAGAAAATTTCAAGTTAAAAAAGTCTTTAATTTTCTTAAATCACCCTTGTATGTGCTAGCCACATTGTGGAAAAGAACATAATACACAACCTAGATTCCGCCTTGAGATTTCAGGACTCTGGCACAGACTCTCAATAGCTGTGTCCATCTTAACAGACGTTTACAGGCAGGCTTTGTGTGCCAGAAGAATTCCAAACTGCTTCACAAAGTGTGGAGAAATCTCCATCTTGCCTGGTCACTGCAGCTGCACTCTGTAAGCTCCTATCAGCAGCTTCACCTGCAGAGAGGAAGGGGAGCAGTCTCATTAATATTTATCTATTTAGAGTTGGGAGTCTCACTCTGTTGCCCAGGTTGGAGAGAGCAGTGGTGCAATCACAGCTCACTGCAGCCTTGACCTCCTGGACTCAGGCAATTCTTCCACTTCAGCCTCCTGAGATTGCCATTTTATTTTATTAATATGTAGAAAGCAGGCAATTCCCTCAGATCCCCTCCTCTCCTGCTCTGGGAGCTTTTCTGTCATTTCAATAAATCCTGCTTTCCAAAAAAAAAAAAGGGAGAAAGCAGGATTTATTAGGACAGAAGAGCTCCCACAGTGGGAGGGGACCTGAGGGGGTTGCCCGAGATTGCCATTCTAATTAAATTCCAAGAATGTGGTTTTAGGCACTCTGAAAAGAGGCTAGTAACCAGCCAGAAGGCAGACATGGCCTCAGAAACACGACTGGACTGCTCCATCCTCCAAGAGGCATTAACCCAGCCCCTTTCTTGCCACATTAGTTGGGTTTAACACACTTCAATTCAGACAGCTTTTCTTGGCATCACCATCCCAGGGCTATATTTCCAGGACACACCATGACTGATGACAGATTAACCTGAGTAATATTTTGAGCAGTAACACTGATTGTGAAGAAAGGATTTTCACCTTAGCAGAGGGCGCTTCCGCCAGCCTTATAAAGAGTTTATTGGGGCCTGCAACAGGGCTGAATGAGTAAACAAAGTTACTGTCCTAGAGTAGAGAGAGAGAGAAAAGAAAAATGAAGTCAGTGGTTTTCAGACAAGCATCTAGGAATGAGCTACAGCTAGACCATGTAACCTTTTAAAATAGAAACGTTTACGACTATGGTGTAAAGAACCATACTTTTTTTTTTTTTTAAGAGTTGGAGTCTCACTCTCACCAGACTGGAGTGCAGCGGCCGCTCCCAGCCACCACAGCCTCGACCTGCTGGGCTCCGGCGATCCTTCCGCCTCAGCCTTCCGAGTAGCTGGAATTACAAGCAAGCGCTACCACGCCCGGCTGATTTTTTGATTTATTGTAGAGATGAGGTCTCGCTGCCCAGGCGAGTCTCGAACCCACGGGCTCAGGCAATCCACTCACCTCAGCATACGTTTTATTTGTGATTTGAATCTTTGGAAATGCATCAAGTATTAAAAATATCCATACCCAGCCAGTTTCGCTTAATTCAGCCTAAGAGTTTACACAGTCATTAATTATGCATTAAAACCAAGCATAACTACAACCAATGATACAAACCTTATGGGTGTTTGAAGCATGAAAATTTTCTGAGTGTTTCTTTTATGAGACAGGGTCTGTTGCCCAGCATGGCCATAACTCATTGTAGCCTTGATCCTCCTGCCTCAGACTTCCAAGTACCTAGGACTACGAGTCAGCACCACCATGCCCCACTCAGTTAAAAAAGAAAATTTGTAGAGATGGGATCTTGCTATGTTGTCCAGGGTGGTCTTGAAGTCCTGGCCTCAAGTGATCCTTCTACCTCCTAAATTTTTCTTAAGGAAAACATTTGTAATTATAATGATGGAAAAATAAGCATAAAATTAAAAATCAGGCAGTGTGTGTTTTGTGGCATCAAATTTACTTCAGGATAATGTTGGGGCCAGCCCAGGAGTTCAAAACTAGTCTGGATACAAAAAATAACAAAAATGAGCCAGGTGTGGTGGCATGTACCTGAAGTCACAGTTATGAGGGGAAGCAGGAGGATCATTTGAGCCCGGGAGTTAGGCTGCAGTCCAGCCTGGGAAACAGTAAGATCCTGTTTCAAAATAAATAAATAAAGGTTCTAAGACATTGTGGCTTGAAATTGTATGATTCCCAGTTACTAGGTCATTGAGTAATTCATCTGTGCTTTTGATTAGCAGAATGTGCTTTTCAGTAGGGAGGTACAGAATATCTTACCAAAAAGACAGGAAGCTGAAATGTATCATTTAAAACCACGGCTTGCACACTGCATGGTCCACAGAGCCGAGCAATAACTTCTTTACCCAAAAAGTTTGCATGGAAGATAAACAGCAGGACACCCGAGCCTGAAAAAGAGCGATGTGAGGTCATTACCCCGAGGGGGCCTGTGGGGGCCACAGCAGGTCCCTGAGCAGCCTGAGGGTCAGGCCCTCCCGCTCCACCCACCCACAGCTAAGGACCCCTCCAGGTCTCCAGGCTTTTGTGCCATTGCCCAGCCTGTCTCAAACCAGGAAACTCCTTCTCTTCATCCAAGTGGTCCCTACTGACAGTTCTGAAAAATAGTATACACTTAGCCTACACTAAGGTGACTTCAGTTTCTGAAAGGCGCTATTTAGAAACTGCTGCCAGGTGTGTGCACACGTCTGGAAGTCACAACAGCATATCCGTGGGTGTGAGTTTGAGTGGTTTTCCACTGTAAGTTTCTGGTCAATACCAAAAACTTCATTTGGAAAAAATTGTTAGCTTGTGATATCAAATATGAAGCTTTTCCTTAATATCTAAAATAGTCTATCAAATATTCTGTACAACTAAATTTTTTAAACTTTTTAGTAATAAAACAGGTATGTGGATTCTATGACTTTTCTGCTAAACTAACCATTTTTTAAAACATTCTCTTACTAGGTTACGTTTATATTTCTGCCAACCACAATGAGTCAGATCTGAGGAAAGAGTGTGTCCATCAGGACCTGTTGCTCTGACAAGCACTTGAATTTCATTGGTATAAATCAAGTTGCTAACAGATGTTTCCACATAAACTTAGCTAAAGCTAAGAACATGGTTAGAGTTCTTCAGCACCAAAAGCCAACATTGGTGTATCTGCATGTCACAAAGGAGGAAGAAACCAACATGTACCAGGCCGCTGGCATCACCACAGGACCACACCGAGCAGGCACTAGCTTGGGTAGCTCCTGGGCTCCTGGACTGGAGAACGACAGGGCATCTTTGCTGGACGCAGACATCGTGCAGAGCAGAACGTCCGCAGCCCCAGCTGGTCCAGCTGTGCTGAGGTCCAGCAGCTCCAAGGGCCCACCATGGCTGTCGCCGCAGTGCATACGACTAACAAATTACAGTGCTCCCGACTGAGTACCATCCCTTCAACACTACATGGTATGTGGCTGTGTTTAATTGTAGAGCTGAAGCTCCTCGGGGATGAATAGACCATTTAAATGGGGGTGAGGAGAGGCTGCTCTCCCCACCACACACACAGCACGAGTCATGGCCGTTCAGCAGAGGCCAGGAAGGGATGTGACATGTCCACCTCCCTCCTACACGACTATGGGCCAAGACAACGTAGTACAACAGAGTTCAGGGAAAAGAGATTGTAGGCTTAGACGTTTTAAACTATTATCATTAAGACCCAACTCCTATGTCTAAAGCATCTGCCAACACTGCTCCGTGGCCCTTCGGTAACCAGGGATGGGGATCAGCCGGGTCTCGCTTCTGCCCTTAACTGTTTCATAGAAATATCACACATTGCAGGGTGTCCCTAAGGTTTGTTTTGTTCAAAGAGCGTTCAGCCTAAAAACTTGCTGATTTTTATAATGGCAGAGTTCCAAGGGCAAACACAGGCTTACCTTCTGGGATGTTCTGTGGGGGTTTGTAATTGAAATCCATCGAGAAATCTGGCCCCTCACAGAGCCGATGACATGCTATTGGGAAAACTGGTTCCAGCAGAGCAAGGCGTGCCTCAAAGTAATCCTTGATCGTCTCTTCTGCCACTCTCGAGAGTCTAAGAAGGACAGTTGCTAGCTGAAACTAGCAGTAATCCCAGATTCATTATGAATAAACACCAGCAAGGCTTGCCAGGTCAACTTTCTAAAAAGAACCAAGGTTCTGCCCCTCCTGTACCTCCTCTGACCCAACACAGAACTCTGAGTCCCTCACTAGAGTTCCTACTGTCTGTAGGGTGGCGCGTGTGTTAGTTACCAAGGTATATATTTTTTTACACATGTATTGTAGAGAGGAGTCTCACCATATTGCCCAGCCTGGTCGTGAACTTTTGGGCTCAGGCAATCCTCTTACTTTGGCCTCCTAAAGTGCTGGGATTACAGGCGTGAGCCACCACACCCATCTCAAAAAGAATTCTTAAGTGATAAAGACAGACATTCAATTATCCGTATTATGAAGTATGAACCTGTAACAAAGGTAACTTATTAAAGAATAAACTGTGGCACATCCGGATACTAGAATATTAATTAGTGCTAAAAAGAAATGAGCTCTCAAGACATGGAAGGAACCTTGAACACCTACTGCTAGTAAAGAAAGTCCATCTGCAAAGGCCATGTACCATATTATTCCAAGACACAGTAGAAAGATCAGTGGTCACCAGGGTCTGGGAGGGACACCCAGGCAGAGCACCAGGTTGGCAATGAAGCTATCTTATGTGACACTGATGGGGAACATATCATATATGTCCAACCCACAGACTGCAACACCAAGCGTGAACCCTGGTATCACCTGTGGACTCGAGACTCACTGGGATAAATGCACCAGTGGGGGGAGGGGGGAAGGCTGTGTGCTGGGGAGGAGAGCCTTTGGGAACTCTCAGCACCTTACTCTCAATTTTGTTGGGAACATAAAACTGCTTTAGAAACTAAAGTCCATCAGAATGAAAAAATAAAGGCTAAGTGGTTTTAAGAATATACTTGAGGTTTTAAGAAGACACCCCTGACGGGCCCGTGTTGAGTCTGGTATGTTCCAAGACTCCAGTAACTTGCAGAAAAGTAGCTCCCGTGCCACTGAGGACAGTCACGGTCTCTTAGAAACATGGCTACTTCTGGGCTGCCACGTGCCAGCCATCCCATGCACCTAGATGCCCAGGCTGTCCCACAGGCCAGCCTCGGCGTGGTACTCACGTCTCCAGGTGGCTCTTGAGCAGGTCGTACACAAGCACGTTGTTGCTCTGCTTGGCGAAGTGCAGCGCACTGTTGTGGTGCTTGGACAGGATGTTGCAGTCAGCCCCACACTCAATCACCAGCCGCGCGATGTCCGAGTTCCCTCTCTTGCACGCCTGGGCAGGTGGAAGGACAGTTGCAGAGGTACACTCCAGCACCCCAATGCTTAGGCTTTGAACAGGGCAAGTGGGGGGGCACCAGGCCTGTCCTTGCAGGCTGGGGAGCTCCTGCAACTGTCATGTCATACTCATGGGGCATCAGGATGCCTGGGTGGTGAGGTAAGTGGAGACGAGCACCACCAGATCTTGCTGGGCAGCCCCGTTGCCTCCCCCTGGCCCAGTCGCTGTGTTATAGGTGTCAGGAGCCTCTAAAAACTGTCCAACCTGTCCCTCCCCGGCCCTATGCATCAGGTTCACGTGAGTCTCAAAGTTTCTCTTGCTACAAGTGGTGACACTGCCCAAGACATCTAGTTGTCACCCAGGGTAGGGTGCCACTGGCATCTGGTATAGACATTGGTCCTGTGGAGCTTCCTGTGATGCCTAGGACACACCCACTTCCTACATTTTTTTCCTTGAAATGCAAAGGTTTTCTTTACCGTAATTTCTGAAAGTCCCCACGTTTATTTCTTCTAGTTCTAAAATGCAATAAAACTTAAGGCACCAAGTCCACAATGCTCTCCAGGAACAAGCACCTAGACAGAGGCCAGGTCAGACACAGGCGAGTGGGACTTGGGCTCCTGACACCCTCCTGGCCGCCCCCCCGTCTTCCCCACACCGCCTCCTTCCATCCTAATCCTGGCTGACCCCACTCACCGGGCTCAGTGGTCACTGTCACCCACCCAGCCAGCTGGACGGTCTGCACTACACTGCCCCTCCACAAGAGCCCCTGTGAGAGGCAGAGGCAACTGGCCTGAAGTCCATCCAGCACCCAATCCCAATCCCAATCCCTTCCCCGGTGGAGACCCACCTTCATCCCTGCAGCACTCGCAAGCCGCCATCCGCATCTGCACCCCGCCTGCCTTTCTCCCAGGCCCCCACAGACCCAAAGCCATGCCCCAGAGTCACCGGTGCCCTCAGGCAGGTCCTGCTGCGCTTAGGGGCTAGGCATGAGAAGGGGAGGTGGGCAGGGGAGCCCTGCTCCCACCAAGACATGCTGGGTCCCAGCAGCTCTGAACACACAGCACCACACACATGTGCCAGGGAGAGGCAGACCCGCCACTCAGGCTCCTCAACACGGGCACATCCGCAGGCCTGTGAAAGCAGGGCACCGCACGAGGCAAGCCAGCCCTGTCCAGGAAGCCCCCAGGGGCTGAGGCCAGTGACTGCAACAGACGGGTCTCAGAGGTCCCAATGCACCTGAGGAGATGGCGGGACAGAACCGCCAGGAGGCCCATGTGTGCCTCAGGCCAGGAACCCATGTCTTCCTGGAGTGGTCTCTATGGGGGCAAGTGCTGCCTTCCACAACGCCTTTGCAAACCACATCGGGCATAGGAGCAGAGGCCAGGAAGCAGATCTGCGATGCACACTAAGGTGCGCACATGCCTGTGGGCACTGGGAATGAACCTGGATGTACCCTTGGCTGGCGGCCACCCTGCCCCGAGCTCCACAGGCGCCTCCCTCACTATGCCCAGGGCCAGCAACCCCAAGACACGCAGCCCAGGCCGGCTGCATCAGTCAGGTCAGCCCAGCTTGCCCTGGTGCGCGCTTGTCCAGTCCTAGCCAGGGCTGGTAGAGCCCACAGGACACCTGCCATGAAATGGAGCCACGCGCGGACACCTTGCCTTCATGAGTGCAGTCTCGCCACTGCTCTGCTGGACATTGACAAAAGCTCCGGCTTCCAGAAGGATGGCCACGGTGGTGAGAAAGTTCTGCGAAAGAAGGAAGCAAACGTGACTCCCAGAGACACTAAAAGCCACTCACTTTCCAAGGTTTTGCAATGTCTAGTCATTAGAAAGCATGCTCGGCTGATTTCATCGCAGGCAGCCACAACCACAACATTCCTGTGGGGCCTGGTGATACGCCCACAGATACCAGCACGGCCCCACAGCTCTGCAAGGATTGCACCTGTGGGCGCCATGACTTCAACACAGGAACCTTTGCACACAAATCTCTTAACAAAGGCAACATAGCAACCTTCTGATTATGTTATTAACCAAAGGAATATTAGTTTCAGCCGAAGACAACTCTGAAATCAATATTAGGACTTTAACTCAATATCAATTACTTCCAACTAGATAAACCGCATTTTGAAAAGTGATTGCAGGCTAGGCACTATGGCTCACACCTGCAATCCCAGCACTCTGAGAGGCCAAGGTGGGAGCACTGCTTGAGCCTACTGGTGTGAGCCTGGGCATCACAGTGAGACGTCTCTACAAAAAATAAAAAAACTGCAGAGGTGCTAGTGTATCAAGGCTATGGTGAGCCATGATGGTGCCACGGTGACAGAGTGAGATCCTGCCTGGGTGACAGTGAGATATTGACTCAAAAGAAACAAACAAAAAAAACTGCCAGGTCTAGTGGCTTATACCTGTAATCCTAGCACTTTGGGAGGTAGAGACCAGAGAACTGCCTGAACCAGATGTTTTGAGACCAGCCTGGGTAATTTAGCAAGACCCTGTCTCTATAATAAATCAAAAAATTATGCGGGTGTGGTGGCTTGTGCCTGTAGTTCCAGCTACTTGGAAGGCTGAGATGAAGGATTACTGAGCCCAGCAGGTCAAGCTGTGGTGGCCGTGAGCGTGCCACTGCACTTCAGCCTGGGCAACAAAGTGAGATTCTGACTTAAAGAAAATGTGGTTAAAAAGTACTACTGATGACCGGGCTCAGTGGCTCAGCCTGTAATCCCAGCTGCCTTCCACAACGCCTTTGCAAACCACATCGGGCATAGGAGCAGAGGCCAGGAAGCAGATCTGCGATGCACACTAAGGTGCGCACATGCCTGTGGGCACTGGGAATGAACCTTTGTGGGCACTTTGGGAGGCCGAGGTGAGTGGATTGCCTGAGCCCGCGGGTTCGAGACCCGCCTGAGCAGGTGAGACCTCACCTCTATAATAAATCAAAAAATTAGCCGAGCGTGGTAGCGCACACCTGTAGTTCCAGCTACTTGGAAGGCTGAGGCGGAAGGATCGCCGGAGCCCAGCAGGTCGAGGCTGCGGTGGCCGGGAGCAGCCACTGCACTCCAGTCCGGGTGACAGAGTAAGACTCCAACTCAAAAAAAAAAAAAGTACTACTGATGACAGAAAGAAATCTACTTGTTACATGTCACGTCAGCAAGCCCATGAAATGTTTGTTACACATCAGGAAGCCCATGAACTGAAAGTGACATGACCCCATGACGCTCACTAGAGAAACAGGTTCTCAGTCTAGGGAGGAATTCCCACCAACACTGAAATGAGTGTGTGAAGCCACAAACCTTCTCAGCTGCGTGGATGAGGGCGGTGGTCCCGTTCTTCTGCCTCCCATTCACTTTTGCGCCTTTTGTGATCAGGAGTCGCAGGAGGTCATCCTGCCCTCCTGCCGCAGCCAGCATCACCAGCGTCATCCCACTGGAGTCCTGTGGTGGTGGTTTGCAGAAACACCTCATTAATCTTGAATCAGAACAATTCCAGAACCTACAACATTTTGTGTGAAATCCCAAGCGCACTGATCTAAGCACCAACAGTTTTCTCCGAAACCTCACAGCTGTCACAGGCGCACCTCACTTGACTGCGCTTTGCTTTACTGCATTTCACAGATTTTGCATAGTCTGTGCCATTTTTCTAACAGCACATGCTCACACACGACTGTCAGTTGTTTTTTTTTTTGAGTTGGAGTCTCACTCCTTTGCCCAGGCTGGAGTGCAGTGGCATGCATGCTCACGGCCACCCCCAGCACCGGCCTGCTGGACTCTGGTGATCCTTCTGCCTCAGCCTTCCAAGTAGCCAGAACTAGACACGCGCCACCACACCCGTCTATTTTTTATTTTATTGTAGAGATGAGGTCTCATCAAGTTGCTTGGGCTCGAACCTATGGGCTCAGGCAATCCACTTGTCTCGGCCTCCCAAAATGCTGGGATTACAGGCTAAGCCACCGAGCCCGGCCATTGTCAGCATTTTAACAATAAAGTACTTGTACACTAAGGCACATACACTGTTTAGACATAATGCTCTAGGACACTTAACAGACCACAGTACAGCATAAATCTCATTTTTATACGTTCTGGGAAACCAAAATACTGACATGACATGCTGTATCACGATTATCACTTTATCACAACTGTCTGCAACCAAACCTGTGACATCTCTAAGGAATGCCTGTATTTTTGTTTTTTCTTTTTAAAAAGTGAGACAGGGTCTCACTATGGTGTCCAAATTGGTCTTGAACTCCCCTGCTCAAGTGATCTTCCCGCCCTGGCCTCCCAAATGCCTGGAATCACAGATGTGAGCCATTACACTGAGCTCTCCTGTTTTGTTTTTCTGTATTAAATCCTAAAGTCACATCAAAAATTTGCATGATATTTACAGAGATGGCTCATCATCGACCAGCAATGGCCCATTACAAAACAAAATGTGACTGGAAAAAGACTATAATGAGCACAGTAAAATAACAGAATACTATGAAACATGAAAGGAGTATATCTGAAATAAACATGCAAAACATATATGAAAGAAAAAGCCCACAGAACTCTGCTTAAGGGTATAGACAAAAGGCTGAATGAATGTAGTTATTGTGTTCCTACACAGAAGACTCAAATGTAATAAAAATGTCAATTCTCAAATTAATCTATATGTTTTGTGCAATTTTAATCAAGATCCCAATAATTTCTTGAACTTTAATTCCCAAGGATGTAACCTAAAAAAGCCCTAAGCTAAAAAACTAAAGAAGAAAACAAAAATGTTTTCTAAGCAAGAGACCCAAAGCCAAAAGTGAAAAAGACCAAAAACAGAGAAGTTACCTAAAAATAAAAATCTTCTAAGTGCTACAAACAAGACTCAAGACACAAAACCTAAAAACTAAGAAAGGGTTATTATACTTCCATATTAATAACCCACATGTATCAGTATGAAAAATCCCCCGCAACACCAATTACAGTCGCCAAAGATGCACCAGTGGCCATGGGAAATGAGACCATTTTATCCCCCTCCAGGAGGCAAGAGGCAGCTGCAGACAAAACATCCTTACCAAACCAAACGGTGCTTTCGGGGATTGAATTGCAGGGATTATAACTGTCTTTACAGCCCACGAAGTTTGTGTTGTATAGTGAACATGTATTATTATTATCATTTTTTTTTTGAGTTGGAGTCTCACTCTGTCGCCCAGGCTGGAGTGTCGTGGCATGCTCACGGCCACCCCAGCGTCAACCCACTAGGATCTGGTGATCCTTCCGCCTCAGCCTTCCAAGTAGCCAGAACTACAGGCATGTGCTACCATGCCCAGCTTATTTTTTATTTATTGTAGAGACAAGGTCTTGCCAAGTTGCCTGGGCTGGTCTCGAACCTGCAGGCTCAAGCAATCGAATTGCCTTGGCCTCCCAAAGTGCTGGCATTATAGGCAAAGCCACCGAGTCTGGCCACATTACTTTTAAGGAAAAGAAAAAAAACGAAAACTCAACTTGAATTCGTTTAAGAGTTACTTTCCATCTTCCTTTCATGAGATTTTTCTAAGTCCTCTTACCTCTTGGTCCAGGTCGTATTCTTCACTTGAATTCAGTGCCACCTTCACAGTAATATAATCTCCGTTTTTCACAGCATCCCTCAACACACCTAAATGAAAAGGACACATCAGGGCTCATCGGTCCAGATTTGCAAAAGGGCTTTCTGTGATTCTGAAACACTCACTGCCTGGAACTGCATCTGCTGCAGCAGAATCCTCATCTTCGCCATCAAGGTGCTTCTGGAAATCGTCCAGTTTCATCCACTCCAGCTGCAAGTCCATGCCCAGACTGAGAATTTGCTGCCTGCCATCTGAACACGTAACAGCCTTATTAACATTCCTTTTTTAAAGTACAGCAAAACACAATGCTGTTGATTAAATTGTGGTGTCTTAGCCAGAAGACTGTGTACACTTTGAGTCAGGGTTTTTCTCTGTCGCCCAGACTGGAGCGCAGTGGCACAATCATGGCTCACCGCAGCCTCAACATCCTGACTCAGGTGATCTTTTCACCTCAGCCACTCCACTAGCTAGGTGAACAGATGCACACCACCATGCCTGGCTAATTTTTTTTTACTTTTTGTAGAGATAAGATCTCTATGTTGCTCAGGCTGGGCTCAACTGACACTCCTGCCTTGACCTCCGAGAGTGGTGGGATTACAAGTGTGAGCAACCATGCCCAGGCTATGTACACATTTAACAGGTCATTATGTGATTGAGTATCTTCTTTTTTTTTTTTTTTAAGATGTGGGGTACAATTTAGGATTAGGTATACAAACGTTGATTATGCAGGGACCCTTGTATCTTCCTCAATGATAAAACCCCTGCTTTTCCCTGGGAAGTAACAAATCACCACCATTTAGATGCCAGGATGCACCAACAGCGTGAAGACAAGCAGGCAACACTGTCAGGCAGTGCAGGAGGAGTTAGGTACAGGACTGAGCAGCTCAGAGGGAGGCCACAGGGACTCAGCAGGAGGACAGAGAGACCCTAGCCATGGGTGAAGCCGTTCTCACTGCGTGAGCCAGACCACCACAGACCCAAGCCGTGGCCCGTGGTCCTACAGTCTGCTCTCACTCATTTGAGCACCCCCGCCAAAAGCTCCCTGTGCACTGCGCCCTGGTGCATGTCCCACGGCACCATGAGAGGCGGCCAGAATCCTCCTTGCTCAGGGGGCCCACAGGTGCTATGACACTGGGGCAGATGTGTCCAGCCCTCAGCAGAACTCATTTGGAACTGATTCACAGCAGCTATATGCTATCTCTAAATATGAAAAACGAATTATTTAATGTTAAGAGTTGAAGAACTTTCACCTAAAACCAACCCTAAGCCACACAGGTGATGCCAGACAGATAACCTTGCCAGAGATGATGTCTGTAAAAGACATGCAATAAAGGAGCTTCTCCCAGGGCCCCCAACTCAATCCAACACTTCTCTCTGCTAACTGCAAGCTGACGTCACAGAAATAGCCCAGTTGTGGGCTGCCATCCTGGCTCTGCTGATAAGTCACAGAAACTTCCTGTGCCTCGGTGTCTGAACAGCAGCAGCAGCAGAAGTAGTAACCACAGCCGACATTCGCCATTCATTCCTTCCACACACATTCCCTGTGAGGGGAAACATGCACAGACGGAGGCTGGGAGAGGCCAGGGCTTGCTTGGACACATCAGCAAGTGGCGGAGTTCCCGTGGAGCCCCACAGAGGAAACCCTGGAGGCAGGACAAGTAAGGCCTGCAGGAGCAGGGGTGGTCCCCCTGAGCTCCCAGGGCCACAGCAGGAAGAGACCCCACTCCAGGTCATAACCAGCCGACGGCATGTGCTGCAGTGTATATTTCAGTCTCTCACAAAGTGCCTGCTTCAAAATCTGTTTTCATTCCTAACAAGTTTTGGATCTTGCCCCTGGACTTGACGGGCTTACCCTTTTCTCTCTCTCTCTTTTTTTTTTGAGTCAGAGCCTCACTCTGTTGCCCAGGCTGGAGTGCAGTGGCACACTCACGGCCACCACAGCCTCAACCTGCTGGGCTCAGGCAGTTCTTCCACCTCAGCCTTCCAAGTAGGTGCGTGCCAACCACGCCTGGCTAATTTTTTGATTTATTGTAGAGATGAGGTCTCACCAAGTTGCCCAGGCTGTTCTCAAACCCCTGAAATCACGCAATCCTCTCACCTCCAACCTCCCAAAGTGCTGGAATGACAGGCAATGAGCCACTGCACCCGGCTCTCTTAATTTTTTTTTTTT